GCAGCAGCAGCAGCAGCAAGGGAGGACGAGCTTAGCTTCATCACCACCGAAACTCCCATCACCACCACAACAAACTCCACAATAGTTTTAGAAGCTGACGAGCCGGCAATCTTTGATCTAGAAAGCAGCAGTGAAGTTTCAACGACAGTCGAGCCTTCAAATACGCTAGAAAATGAAGATCCATCAGTTCTTCTGATAGAGGAGGAAAGTGAACCTCAGCAAACAACAACTGCTCCACTTGAAACGACCATCATCACACAAACTACCCTTTTAGAAAGTGAAACGACGACCACCACCTCACCCAAAACCATCGAAACTTCCCCCACAACTTCACCAGAACCGGTCACCACCCAAACAGCAACACAAACTGAAACCACATCTTCAACAATTTCACCCCCTTCAAAAACTTCAACTTCAGTAGTTCGCACCAACTACACTCAATCTCGATCCATCGAGTCGACCTTCTACAATCCACAAATCACCACCACCTCCACCACCACCCCATCACCAACAAAGGACACGGTGCAAATTCGCTACCGCTCCACCACCCTTCGCCCTGAAGATAAAAACCTCTTCGAGCTGCTGTACACCATCTTCCTGCTGAATCGGTTCGAAGCCCAGGCGAAAACGCCAAATGGCAAAAATGGCCACCGACGTCCGGTGAAGAAGATTCGCATCAAGATAATGGAGTTTTCCGAAGAAGGTGGTGAGGGTGATGATGAAAAAGTCAGTTCACCAACAAATGAAAAAGATGATCAGCAAATGATCACCCAACAAGAAATTTTTGATGATTTTAACCCAACAACGGCTCCGACGATTCCATCAAACGAGAGCACGTTCTACACTGAACGCATCGAGCTTGGCTCTCCATTTTCTTCTTCAAAAACAAAATATGAAAACACCGATAATTATCCTCCACCACGCCCAGTGGAGGTAAAACTGCGCATCACCGGCATCATCAATGAAAATCGCACCAAAGACGGCAATACCGTAAGGAGAACTTCCGTTCGCATCAAGCCAATGGAGATGTCCCTGAGGCTCAACTACTCGATGCGCTCCAATGGTCTGCTTAATGGGAACATCGAGCTGGCGACGCTCCTTGCGAGGCCACTTGATGCACGGCTTCGAGTCGGTGAGACGATTGGTGATCATAATGGTGATAATAGTGGTGGTGGTGACGGAAGTTATCCTCTTCAGAAGCTCGACTCGAGGACCNTGCTCAATGGGAACATCGAGCTGGCGACGCTCCTTGCGAGGCCTCTTGATGCCCGGCTTCGAGTCGGTGAGACGATTGGTGATCATAATGGTGGTGGTGGAAATAGTGATGGTTATCCTCTTCAGAAGCTCGATTCGAGGACCGCCAGGTCAGACTACCCTGAAGATGGTGCCGGTGGTGGTGATAAGGAGGCCGAGGAGAGCAATGAGCTGCTGACAATGGGAAGCAGTGAGGGTGATGATAAAAAAGATGATGAAAACGAAGATGAGGAAGAAACAGTACCGAAAAAGAACAAGTACGCCCATCTGAAGCTGAACAAGGTCAAGTCCTCGGGGCCGAGGCAAAGGACATTGGAAAACTCCACAACCACTACTGAAACTCCACTTTTACCACCCCCATCAAACGTAAAGTTCTACAATGTGAAAAAGACCGCCGAGGTGGAGCATCACGTCGAAGATGAGGAGGAGGAGGAGGAAACTAAAGAACCAAAATACGAGTCGATGCCCATGATTCCAACGACGATCACCACCACAACTGAAAGTATGCTCACTGTAGAGCCGACCATTGCTACCGTTCCAATTGAGTATCGGGAGCCTTTCACCACCACCACAATATCTTCTTTATCAACTACAACAAAGGCAAACATCACCGCTGAGCTCTTGGAGATTCTCGACAACCTCGAAAAGAATCCTCATCAGGAAACTCCTTCGTCTTCTTCTTCTTCCACAACAACGACAACAACGACAACAACTCCTTCATCAATTTCACCTTCAACAAAATCGACAACAACAACTACCATCTCACTACCTGAACCAGTTTTCAGGCAACAGGAAACAGAAAAAGCAGAAAACGGGGAAAACAAAACTTCAACAACTACGACCACAACCAAAAGCTCAACTGAACCCGTTTTCATCTCATCTTCCACAACAACAACCACCACAACCACTACAACAACGACAACTCCAAAACCCAAATTATCACTGGGAAACATTCTACCGATAAACAACAACAACAATTCAACAAACAGCAGAAAATCAGCTGAATCAGGCCGATCACTGGGCAACAGCGGCGACGGAAACGGAGGAAACAGCCAACGACCAAGCGAGCTTCAGCTTAACATTCTGTAAGCGTTCTTTTTAGCTTCTCTTTTTAAACTCCTTTTCCTTCTTTCTAGACTCGCCCTCGCCCTCCTCGTCCTCTTTTGCGTTCTGGGTGCGGCTGTCTTCTGCTTCGTAAAGTCAGTTTCAACAAAAAGAGGTAAAAGAAATAAAGGAATTGAAGAGGAAAACGACTACAACGATGACAGCAACGACGGAAGCGAGGAAGAAGGGGAACCGGCTCAGCCCATCAACGTCGGCCGCTACTCAAAAGTGGTCAGCACCTCTTTTCCTTATCAACAGCATCAGACTTCAACCTCTTCGAGCTCCATTCCCTCGAGACACGTCAAGTGGCTGGACATTGAAAAGGATGACTCTGTGGATGGAGGGGACGAACGATTTTGATGAGCTGCTAAAAATAGTTTAATAAAAATAAATACAAAGTACCTATCACTGAAATGTAAACTGCTTTCTATCACAAATGGTCGTCAAATTAAAGTAATCGTCAAAAAGAAAGGTGGGGGGTAATCTTCGTCGCCATCACAGACCTACAAAATCTCAATTAAAAATACTGAAGCTCATCTGGCCGGTGGCTCGATCGCGAAAGCCAATTAACAGCCGAAGGAGGATGAAAAGGACGAGCGCCGCAAGGATGTAGACGCCCTCAAAGGCGAAGAGAATGAGCGGCGTGTCCTGGAGGAAACGGCCGATGATGAAGGGCGTAAAGAGGGAGACGACGCCGGCGAAGAAGAAGAGCAGGGAGCCGACGCGGTTGGTCAGCGCCAGGTAGCGGTCGGTGAAGGCGAGAATGGCGGGCCACATGGCGGAGAAGCCAAATCCTGGGTGGAAGTGGGCAAAGTTGGAACAAAGCAAAAAACAAAACAAGGGGTCGACATCAGCAAACACACAAAACACATACTTTCTAAATCATTTCTAAATCTAAATCTAACCCCAAAACCCAAAACAAAAAAACGGTTCTACTCACCCAAAACAACCGTCCCCGCGTAGATGTACTCCGTCTGGTGGCGCCCAGTGTAGAGCACCAGGTGGCCGGCGATGATGATCAGAAAGTGGTAGCTGATGATGACGTCCGGCTTCAGCTTGATGGCCACAAAGGCGGTCACCAGGCGACCGACGGTGTAGGCGGCCGACAGCACAGAGAGCACATGAGCCGCCTCCTCCGCCGTCATCCTCACGCCGTCGGTCATAAACTGGTACATCGTGGGCGAGAAGTAGAAGTAGGCGATCTCGGCGGCGTCGTACGTGGCCAGACAGAGGGCCATCAGCAGCAGTTTAAGGGGGCGAAGTGGGACGTGCAGGCGGTCCACCAATTGGGAAGGCTGGTCATTGTTTGCTTGGTGAGGTTCAGCGGTGACCACCTCCTGAAACTCGGTCGACTTTTCGTAGCGGCGGGC